TGCTGAAGCGAGGGAAGCCCCCGCTCCCCTCAGGCCCGGAGCCACCTGCCAGCCCGCAGCGCACGCACCCGGAGGCGGCGCCACGTGACCTGGGGCGGCCCCGCCCTCGGCCCCGCCCCCAGGGCCCGGCGCGGCCGGAGAAGAAACACCGCGCGATGACGTCATAACGAGGGCGAACGAGAACTTTTAATAGGCGGCGAGAGGCGGAGAGCTTCCCGGCGGGGCGGGGCGACTCTAGAGCTGGAAGGTAGCGGAGGTCTGCGGCACCCCGCTGTAGATGTAGGTGTTATTGAAAATGACGAACTGTCCCGTAATCACCTTGATGACCTCTTGAGCAGCAGCTCCTGCGCGGGGGCAAAAACCAAGTTACCAGCCCATTTACAACAACAACGGCAAGCACTCAGTGAGCGAGCAGACCCGCCGCGGTGGAGACTGGAACAGAAACGGTCGGGTTGCTGTAGGAACTACACGGAGGAACCCGTCACGAAAGAAAATAAACCGTTTCTCAGTGCTCAGCTCGTATAAAACATCCTGTAGAAGCTCATCCGGTGCTTTCTGGAGCTGGGGCCAAAAGTAGTAATATTACTTCCATTAAAAAGGATCAACATTTCTAAATTAATAAAAAAAAAAAGAAAAAAACCGCCTAGAGTGGGGGGGGGGGGGGGGGGGGAGGGAATCTTATTTCAATCCCCACACACCAGTTTTTCCTTATCCAAGAAGTGTCATTTTCCTTTGGAGAGAGACTGCAGTCCAGGCTGAGAGAGCTAGGAAGTTGGTGAGATAGACAAAAGATTTCACAACTCCAATTCCATACGTAGTCTGCAAATCAGCTCCAGTTAGCTTTTCTGCATTTTCCCCTCTTTATTTTTAAAATTATCCCAGTTTATCCCCTCTAATATACATGAAATATAAACTCTTAGGGGCATGTACTGTCCGCGTACATTTTGCTAAGCACCATAAGGATTCATGGAGATGACATTTTTTAAAAGGGCAAAGAAAATGTTTATGGTTCATATAAACGTTAGTACCTGAATAACTGATTATAGGAAATCAAACAATGAAGCTAAGTTTATAATAATAATACTTCCATTACCCTTAAAGCTGTTCCCCCTGGCTATCAATAGCTCCTGCAGGCTTTTAAATAAAGGAACAGTCTCAGCCCCGCCTGGCAAGTGCTTGTTAGAGAGGCATTTCAGACTGTCATAGAAAGCAGGTCTCCACTGATACTAGCATTAAAACTTGTCATACTGTACCATGCTGCTTTTTCATTATTTAAGATAGTCTTACATATCTATTTTTAAAAAAATCTACAATAATTTTTTTAAATGTTTGTAATTTTTCCCTTATTTATTCATCAGAACACTTGCTAGACCGATTATTCCCATAAATTGTACAGGGAAGGGATGGGACAAGAGAAGAGGGAAAGGGAGGACTTTACAGTGTTGCAATCCAAACAGTTTTAGACTACAACTCATATTTACTTTGTTTGCTCTAAGTACGCTGAAAAAGGAATAATATTCGGGCTCAAATACTATGTCACTGTTAGCAGCACTGCACAGGTCTGCAGGATTAAACTTACCTCCAACAAATGCAGCAATAGTATGTGGTTCTGCAGCTCCATAGCGGCAGCTAAATAGCAAAAATAAATTAGTTAGTATTTTCAGGACAGTTTAATGAACAAAAGAAAACACCAGCGGCCAGCCTGTACTTACAATTCGTGAACATAGTCATCCTTCACTGTTACAGACAGCCCATGTTCCTGAAGAAAACCACTGAGGCAAGATTTCAATTTCCCAATATCATCTTCCACTTGGTAATTATATACACCTAGGAAATAAAGTCTCTCTTTATACTGAACTGCAACGTTATAGAAATCAAACAATTTAATCATTTTAATTGTGCCATAAATACCTTGTTATTGCAATAACTATGTTTTTAACCAGGTAACAAAAACTAGTCATTATGTTGAAGACACAGCTCTAACAACAATTACCTCTGATGAGGATCAGTCAACAGGCCAAATTATGTCATTTAAATCAGCCCTGAGCTGTTAGAACCATTACACTGATTTCAATCTAAAATAATCTTTTCAGATTCTGAGAAGAAATTACTTTTTGCAATATTGGCAAAATGAAGATACTATATACAAATGGAAATTGGTCTGGTAAAAATACCGGCTTCCTATAGTTTACATGTACTATTATAAATTAGATTGTTGTAGGTCTTAAAGCAACTCATCTGCATCTAAAAGTGTAGTACGAGCCTACCTGGGTATCTACCATGTTGTTTATGAAATCTATCCACTGCACGGAGCATTAAATATAGCACAATCTCGCTGTCTGGGTTATCCATGTTGGAAACTAGAAACGGAAGTGAGGGAAAGGGAAGGAAAAGAGATTTAGTATTAGTTTAGTTCAATGATGATGGGAATATTTCCCATTTGTTTTTTTAAATCAAGGTACCTTGCCACACCTTCCACAACTAAATGGTCTCTCTCTCTCTCTTCCTTTTTTTTTTTTTTATCTTGTTACCAGATATGTCATTCTGAGACTGAATCCCAGGCTGAATGACCAAAACAATTAACATTCTACACCAATACATTTTTACATAAATTTTATTCACTGGAACTAGTAACACATCCCAATTTAACAACAGCAGGTTGGCTGGGATATTTACCATATTTACTCCAATCAAAGACAATGCCCTCCCTCTCATTCAACATGAATTTAAGTACAAGGCTGGGGGGGCAGGCAGCAGCTGCTGCTGCAGCTCCAGCTTCAGTCCTGACCCAGGCTCAAGTCAGCTGCCAGTTACCCTCAGTCACACCTCTGACTCCGACCCAGGATGTGAAGCACATGGTGACTCCAATCCCATCCAGCCAGGAAGGAGTGGCAGCAGTGCTGGAAACTCCAGCCCCAGTTCCAACCTGGTCCTGGGGCTGAAGCTGTTGTCACTACAATCACTGCTGCCTGCCCAGGTTGGGGCTGGAGCCACCATCTGACCTGGGCTGGAACCGTGACTGAAGGCAAGCAGTTGTACAAAGGGGAAGAGGGGGACTGAAAGAGTAGGAGGGAAGCAAGGCACAGGGGAGGTGTGCAGGCATCACAGGAGAGAGCAATATGGACAGATGGGAAGGCAAGTGCAGGGCGCAAGGTGCAGGGGACCAATTATTCCCCTGCTGCCTACCCCTCCTCCCCCACTGCTTGCTCCCCTGCTATTGCTTCCTCCTGCAGTGGTGGGGCAACAAAATTAAGACAATCCTTCAATAATTAGATTCTATATGTGGAAAATTATACCCAATTTATAAAGTTTCTGTGTATATAATTAATTATTGGGCGTGGGGAGGGTCTTTTTAAATTCAGTCATCTTGGATTCAAATACGATACCTTAAGTCACAAAATAAGTCTTATAGCATATTCAGAAAGAAAATGCTAGATATTTTTGTGTAAGAAAATGTAGGGACTGTAGTTATGTAACAGAAGTCAGCTTTATACATAGCGTAACAGGGATTCTAAGTTTAGAATGGCTCACAAAGGGATTTAAGATAAAAAAACTTCCTAAATTATAGAACATTACATAAAATGAAACAATTCAAGGAATTGCTTACATTGTTACATAATATTTACATTAGTTTACAAACACTAACAATCATGAGAAAAAAGAAGCCTTTTGGCCAAAATATTACTAGAAGCCTGAAAAGATGTTCATTAAACATTGTAGGTGGGTTTGTATTCTTTTCAATATTATTGTATCCCTTTCAACATTTGCCTTGGAATTTTATTTTAACATAATTAAAAATATTAAGTAGTCATGCCTCATTTTATTAAATGATAACTTGCTATTTGTTTTATTCAGAAGTTAAACACATGACAAGTCTCAGTGGCCAACAAAAAGAGGCAATTGCTCTGTCTTTGTTTACATGGAAGCACTTAATTAGTTGTCACAGGAACTAAAGAAGGCAGACAGGGAAAAACAGTTTAAAGAAAAAATGTAACCAACATGAACATTTTATGTATATTACTACCAACAAGAACATCTGCAAAGGACAGTTTAGGGACTATTAATTCTGTGGCTTATTTTTGAACTTCTAAAGGAAATTAAGTTTAACATCTAGATCAGGGATGCTCAACTTTCAGCCTTACAATTTCCACTTCATAAAGGTTCCATAGTGAAAGAATACTATGTACAAGTAAAAGAAACCTTACTAATTTCATCCTTGTTAAAAGTATTTAAGCCATATTCTTCAGATAGAGATCTACACCGCACTACTCGAAGAAATGCTGAATTGCTGCCTGAACAAAGAACACAGAAAAGAAATATTACAGCATTCACTACTACCTAATTTCTTTAGATATACATTTCAGAATATATCTAATGTTACACAGAGGAAAAAAGTTGATTATTCACCTTTTTAAGCTGGAGCAGCATTTAGCAAACTTTGTGGGTTTATTGTAGTGAAGCTGGGTACTCTTGTGCTCCCCTGCTTCAGATGCCACTTCCCCTTGCTGCCAGCAATCAGCAGCAGGGAAAGCAGCAGCTGAAATGTGAGTGGGCAGGGAAGGGGATGGCTTAAATGTGTGTGTGTGGGGGGGGAAGGGGGGTGCCAAAAGCTGCTATGATTTGCATACAGCCCCTGCCCCCCACCCCACTGAACCACTACGCTGTAGTATTTATTCATATACAAAATGAAAACAAATGTTGCCCAAATGACCAAATCTTAATATTAACTTATGTACCAGTAGTTTATTTTTTGGGGTATATAATATTCAATACATCCGCCTCCAACATCTTTCCACAGGCCCTAATTCTGGGAGACCCCTGCAACTTCCACTGAAGTCAATGGGAGATGCAGCACTTCTCAGGAAGATATCATGTTGGCAATACTGTACATGAAACAGTGATAGAGCTACATTATTCATAATTTCAAAACTTCCTGAAAATATGTGAATTTTCCCATTAAAATGATGTAATACAAAATCCAAGAATACTTACAGAGCAATTTTAATTCTCTCTGTGTAACGGACTCTGGTGGCTAAGAAGAAACAAGAGTATGTTTGCTTCAGCATAAAACAATTGGTTAGAGTATTCATATTTTAAGAAAATACAATGAAGTAGGTAATGATTCTTGTATAAAGAAAGAATTTTTTGAAGTTGTGTTCAAGTGCCCTTTTCACTGAATATTCATCATGATACAATGCTAGCAATGACAAAAAAAAACATACCATATGTATTTTGAAATCATAAGAACTTCAGTAACTTTCTCTAAGAGAATGTAGTACATAAGCCAGCTCCTCTTTTCCTTCATTTACTTCTTTCTTTATTCTTTACAGAGGATATAGACCAATTATGGTCTTTTTTATAAGAATGAAATGAATTTATGAAATGAATTTGATGTAGAGCTACCTTGCCCAGTGACTGTAACAACTTAGCAGCATGATTACCCACAGCAGTAACATCTTTCTTTGCTTTTTCCCGGTATCTGTAAAGTATAAGAAATAATCTTACTAAGTTATTTTAAATCCAAGAGGTTTTTTTTGGTTTTTGGTTTTTGTTTGTTTGTTTGGTTTTTGTTTTTGGTTTTGTTTTGTTTTTTTTTTTTGGGGGGGGGGGGGGGGGGGGGGTTGTTTTTTTTGTTGGGGGGGGGGGGGGGGGGTTTAAGAGTCCAAAATTGAAGAACTCTTAAAGTTATCCTTTCCACTCTATGGTGAAAATATATTATTTTCAGATGCTTGCAACATGAATATTTATCAGTTACCTTAGGAGCAAATAAGTTCCTTAATTCCACCTACATTATATAATAATTCCATGTTTAAAGTCCGGTGACACGGGTGTGTATCAAACTACAAATTCTATTTTGTGCCTAACATTCACAGTTCAACAGTCTTCATAGATGCATACAACCATTTTTCTGGCAAAGGCTATCTTCAGAAAACTGTGAAAAGCCAATCAAAGGTCCCCAACAGTGCACAACTCTTTCTGGAACAGGGAGTGGGGGGTTGGCAATTGAAGCCCAGAAATTCTGAGAGAAGCGTGTGGGTGAGAGAGGTGATAATATTTTGATATGAGACTGCTTCTCTATGAAGAAGAGGGTATTTTACTGCTGAGCCAAATCATTTCAGAAAGGATGGTATGAAGAATCTGAACCAAACCCAAGAAGTCACTGGGTCCTGAGGTCACTAATGGAGCTTGTGTTCAGTTGTTTCCTTGAGATCTGTAAAACACTAAGTGCTGTTTAAGAATTCCACTGCTAAATCTGTCTACTTACTTGATTGCCACACTATTTGAGAGAGTTCATTAGAAATCAGTTTTTGCAACAAGACGCACATAAGAGATTTGGGGGGTGGGGGCAGGTAGAACAGTTTATGCCCAAAGAAGGGGCTCTGGACAGTTGATGCACAGATAAGGGTCTAAACAGCTAGACTATGCAGTCCCACTGCCCAAGAAATATATCAGAGATTATCTGCATCTCGGAGCATACCTGACAGACCCAGAGCTAGGATCCTATCAAAACAGACCAGGAGCTATTCAGAAAGCAAGACATGGCCAGGCTGTAAAGCTATCTACTGTCAATTAAGAGAAAAAAAAAGGGCTTTGAGAATTTGGCCCAGAATGTAAAGTCTGAAATAACTGCCCCTCCATTACTGTAAAAATGATAGTTTTCAAAGCAGAAGCATGAATACTTACACATTTTGCAATTTGATAAATTTACTAGAATCTGCTATCATATCAGGAATAGTGCCCCGAACAGGTAGAGTTCCTTGTCCCTCATTTGCCACAAATTCTTTTACAGCTCGAGTTAAAATCCAAAAGTTTGGTGACTGGAAATGTACAAAGGACAGAGGTTCATTTTTCTATACGCAAGAGAATAATTTGTAAGAAGTTAAGAATCTTGATCTTGCTCTTGTTACCTGCTCTGTGAGATTGATACAATTTTCATCATTAAAAAGTTCTTCAATACACCTTGGAATCTACAAGAAAAAATATTTCTGTATTTATCCACATTTCTATTTCAAGAGTTATCCCATCCGTAATTATGCAGGGGATACAATATCCACGTTACTTTAGACCTTCTGGACAAGAGTAATCTATTCTGAACTTCCAAAAATATATTGGAGCTTTTCAGGAGCAGAAGCAGCAGCATTAACTTTCTCTGATTAAAAATGAATCCAAAACTGGATATTTATAAAGCAAATATTTGTGCTTATATCAAATGCTAAGCTACACTACACATTTACAAATTCAACACAATTTTACAAAATAAATATAGTGCTTTCAGTTTGCAAAAGGAAATTTATGATTTGTTTGCTTGTGATACAGCAGACTGAAAACTCTATGACCCCAGAAGAAGCTCCCTTCCATTCATATGAAGAACAGGAGCAGTTTGGCAAAGTTGCTCCTATTAGGCATAGTTTGGACAGGTGTGTTGAGTGAGTTTCTCAGTCAAGATCTACCAATTTGTCATAACTGGACCTGCTCTACCCTCTCTACAACACAGACTGGTAGTCCTGCTGTACTGTTCTAAAAATGTTTGTTGGGTTTATATTATAGCAATAAGAAATGAGTGTAGTGGACTGTAGCCCATACTAACCATACACTAAACTAACTAATCGGATTTTTCAAAAGTGGCAGAAAGCCACCACTACTTAATCTTTAATTTCTTTAGCTATGTCTTAGAATTGAAGATGGTACAATTTTCATCATATCTAAGTGTGTGTGTGGTAATTCCACCACGGAATTCTTTTCTTACAGGTACCTAATGCATTTTGGAAAAAACATAACAATACAGTTAACACATCATACTTTCTCAGTATATTTTAATGCATTTGAAAAGCTATTTTTACCTTTGTAGTACTTAGTGCTGCATTCACATTTTTCATAGCTTCTTCAAAGTTCTCTTCATCTTCTGGGATCCCATTTTCATTCTTTAAAATACCTTTTTGAAAGAGAGGAATATTTTAATGCAAAGTCCTTTCTCTATCAATATTCCTAGGGACATGTCTGAGTAACTGATTAGGCTTTGCTTTCTGAACTTTTCTTATATAACATTATGCTGGAACTGTGACCACAAACTACATGAGCCATTATGAACTTTTAATGTGATGGGTCATATGCATAAGTATTTTGGTAAGGTACCAAATATGCCTTAACATTTCAGGACAGAAAATGTAATAAGTGTAAAGCTTTTTCCTATGAACATTCATAAACTGAATATCAGAGCTTGTCCATGATATAGGAAAAATACAGAGAGGGGAGCTATAGTTATACAAATGCCCAAAGCAAATCTTGAAATAAAGATCTGTCCAGTGGTTTAATCAATATATTTTGATGTAGGTAAATAAGACTGATCCTCCTTCTAAACAGACTGCTTCTGTATGAATAACACAAGAATACTGATATGTATACAATAAAACAACCTGAACAAAATGAAACAGACTCAGACATAATACAACATTTGAACATTACAGGAATTAAGTAATCACTGTTTCAGCAGCAATTTTATTATTGTTAAACTCCAATATATCTGATGAAGAGAGTACTACAGATGTAGACTGCAACAAAAGTCAAGTCAGCATAACCACTGCACTTGAGTTCTATAAAGAAGCCAATTTTTAATGCTTTGGAATAACTTCTGTTAATGTATTCATAAAAGAACAAATCAATTTTTTCATACAAGAAACTAATTCCAAAAATGCCATTCTGAAACACCACAGCCTCATTCTGATCGTAAATTCAAGTGCTATATTTTCAAAAGATACTGTTCTAATATTAGAATTTGCAAAAGGTGCCTACCAAGTTTGATAGCTCTAAACAATGAAGTCCTCCACTCAGAGTAATTACAAAACATCCAGTGGCTATGAAAACACCTTATACAACCCCATTCTGACCTCCTATGGAAGCATCGCCTTCAGGATTTAAAACAAATAGGCAAACAATCATTCACTTTCTATTCCCATTCAATCCTTGAACTTCCAGGTGTGGATCTCTGAAAGGGATTCCACCTTACTTCTGGTGGATCAAACAGGCAAGAGACACAAAATGTGTGCCAAATTCATACAGCCTCAGTTCCAGTACCAAAAGCCACCCACTTCCTTATTCCATCAAATTTTTAAACTTATGCACCAACATTTTCTTAAATCTTTTTCTTTTTTTTCCCCTCTGAAGAGAACACTAAGGACAAGTGTTGACAGGTGGCATCATAAGCATACTCAAGATTCTAAAACCCATGCATGTAAGACAGTTGCATCATACTGAGGATGTCCTGTATAATTATCTATAAGGACACAAATCAACACAGACATAGCTTAAAGTAATTCCTTAAGCCACAGCAGTAAGTTTTACCTCATGCATTGTCTTTTTATACTGACAAATCTCCCACAAAATGTATTACCTTGTCTAATCATCTGCCTGAAAGCTTCCTTGTCTTTGTAACTCCTAGGTAACTGATCACTTTTCTAAATGTAGAGAAAGAAAAAAAAGATCTAATTTTCCATCCAAATAAAAACAAACAAACACACCTGTCACATTGCTACAGTCTAGGTTGACTGTATCAAAGTTAATAGTTTGTTTCAGTAATTAATTCAGGAAACAGTATGATAAAAGCAAAGTTTTGTAGCAGTTAAAACCATGTGACCCCTCCTCCCCCCCAAAAAAGAAGTGTCAAGTGTTTTCATCAACCATCCACCCCCAGTAGACTAAAAGTCACAGGAAAGTTTCCTTTCTATGATGCAGTGGCTAGATAAAACACCAGACACACAAATAAAAATGTGGCAATCATGACTACAGATGACGCAGGAGGGAGTTGGGATGAATATCAAAACTACCAGACATCTCCCTGCAAGCACAGAGCTTGACTGGCCAGCGTGGAGAAGCCTGAACTGCCTCCACACAGAGGCTGGTAAGACTAAAGTTAACATGCAACTGTGCACATACTCTAACGACACAAACACTGTGTGTATATGAAAGAAGCTTTCAGACTACCGGATACCTACTGGCCTGCCCACATATGGGGGAACCAAGCACCGGCAAGGACCTTGTAAGGCTGCAGTTTGAGCAATAGAATGTGCCTGTTTTTGGACTCAAATTTAAACATGGCTATAGGACACAAGAAGATGATCGATCACTCAATATTTTTTGCTATCAAACCACCTTGGATAAAAGTACACTTGTTAAAAAACCCACATGACAACAAACATGCACGCACACACACAAACACACAGATGCACTATTTAAATGAGATATTATCAACATACCTCACTGTACCATTTTGCTAAGTACTTTGCCATAATCACAATCCATGGAGTGTGGCTATGGTCCTGCAAATGAAAACAGAAAAAAAACTTTAATTAAACATTTCAAAAAATGGAAAATGTGCAGGTTATTCATTTATTCCCTGCTTTCAAGAGTAAAATATTATAATCGCATACAGTAAGTCATGGCAAAGCAATCGTTCTCAACGTTTTCAGACTCAAGGCCCCATTTGGAGAATGCTCTCGCTTAGCTTTCGTTTGTTTCTTTACTACCAAAGCTAACAGCAATTCTTCTGTTGCAAGGAACTCAGAAAGACCACAACAGGTCAAATGTTTTTGACCATGGGGATTCCTATTTGACACCTATGGGTCTATCTTATGGCCCATGTGTAAGCACTTGCACATTTAACAGTACTAATATTGCTTGGCACCCCACCACAATCTTACAGCATCCTGATTGAGAATCACTACTCTAAGCACAGCATATCTGCAATTCAACTGACCTGGACTGGCTTTGGATCACAACTACAATTAAGCCACATATGATGAGCTTATTTGGCAACCAGGAAAGGAGGCAATGTAGCTAGTAGCCAGCTAATTCTGAAAACCCATTAGCTAGCTCCTGGGTGATAGCAGAAACCGCTGTGCTTCAGCAGAGGTGAAGTAAATGAAGGAATAGGTTCTGGCTGTACAGGGAACTTTGTGTGTGGAGATGCTCAATATTCTGCTGGGGGAACTCCATACTGTGGAGTACAGTCCACTTAATCTACAGTAAAGATGCCTTAAGTAGCTCTTTGATTAATTACTTCTGTCTGGACTCTGAATAACAATATACCTTGCATAATTAGGTACCAACAGGGAGGTATATGCACAGCTCCAAAATGAAATCGTAGGCATGTTTAACTCATTTTAAGCAGTGCTTTAATATAGAAAGCAATAGGATTAAGCAAATGGTTTGTGCAATTTAAATGGATTTAAATGTCTGCCCACATTACCCTGGGCATCCCAGCTGGCTTATGCAATACAACAATACAAAGTACAATTCCAATTCTTTTACCACAAAAGCTTTGTAGATCTACATTTCCCATGGAGTCTTCTCCTTTGTAGGACTTAGTCGCACATGAACACCTTCACTACTTTTGTTCAGATATAGAGCTTCCAAGTTCATTTAAAAATACCTCTATTAGACTAAAAAACACAAAATAGTGATCGTCCAAAGAAGTGCTAATTAGTTTATAACCTGTATGCTGGAGAACGAGTTGCATAATTATAATTATACTGTGTATGGATTCAATGACTAATTAGTTTCAAGCCCTCTTGGATCCAACAGATTAGTAGTATCATCAGGGTAGTGACTGAATGCTCTGCTTTGATGGAGCTTTCCTTCTTTCTACCTTTTTATTCCCATCCGGTATTAATAAAAGAAGGTCAAATGCCCTACTCTGTGATACTGTAACTCTACCTGTCCTACCTTAGGAAAGTAAAACCAGTGCCAAACCTGTTTAAGCAGCATGAAATTTATTTACACATCCAAAGGGAGAAGACCTAAGTCCTCCATACTAATATTTAGAGTTTTCTTACCTCATTTACATTTTAAAATGCATAGACTTAGATTCTGTTAGTATTCACCTGTGCTATAAAGAAAAACTGTGATTCAGTTTGGGTATTTCAGCTATAATTCTTGGCTTTGATTCTGTACTAATTTAATGACTATTGAAATTCTGCCCAGAGAGAGTGGGCTAAGTAATCTATCAGGCAATAAATCTTCACCATGCTCTCAAAATAAAACTATGTATTTTGAGTTGCCCAATAAAATATAATATCTACTGGAGCAGAAAGAATACATAGATCAAGCTTCCATCCAAAATTGGTAAAGTACCTGCTAAATAACCCCATGTGCACGAAGCAGTTTCTCAGAGCTCTAAGATGCCTAATGCTCGTCAGCGTAGAAACTTCAAATGAGTGAGTGCTTAGTCACATCCTACACTACACATGAAACCAGGAGGGCCAAACTCGTGTTTCAAGCTGCAATCTACTGTTGAAGAACATGCAAGCGATCAGTTGACTTTACTTGGCTTGAGAAAATATTTTTAATTGGATTAACTGTTCACTTTCCTTAATGCTAAGGAGTTACTTACGTAAGGTTTTGTTTGTAACTCTGGGATTTGCTTTTTGAGGGCTCCAAACAGTCACCCTCAGAAGCTCTTTTTACTTTTCTTCATGGACGGATTCAAAGAACCAAACCGCTAGCAATGGCAAAGCAGCAGAGGTCAAGAAGAGGGGGATGTCTTGAAATTTCATCTGTACACTCTTGTAATCCTTGGTTTTATGCATGCCATTCCATCTTCATTATGCTAGGTTACATTCTGGGCTACAAAGCCCACACCGGGCATAAACATAGCCAAAACTGACTCAACACAGGACACCCAGGGCTACCCTTTTTCCTCCTTCAGTCACAGAAAGGACAAATGGCACATCTGCTATCCAGGTTCTGTGACCAATTACAATGTTGTTTTAGACAGTAGGATAACTATGGTGAAGCGAGAGGGGCACCAATTTAGAAGGAGCGCCAGTTAAGCCCCCTGGCCCCCAAGGAGTCTGTCCCATGGCACGTACAGGGACAAGCAGGTGCTGCGTTATATCCAAAAGTGTGTTCAGAGGGGTGGAGGGTGGAATGAGCCTCTCTACCCCTTCCCGCCTCCAGGCTTTGCCATGAAAGGCACAGCCCCAAACAGGGTACCAGGAGCAGCTCCCAGGAGCTTGCACCACTACCTGTGGTTCAGTGGCAGCAGCCCAAGCACATTTTGCCAGGGGTCAAGTGGCACCAATAGCAGTTACTGCTCAAGTATGGAGAGCATGGGCAGGTAAGACTTCTTCCCCCAACCTGCCCCACCACCAACCCAGTAACTGAAAGAGTTTGTTACACCTCTGGTTTAGTCAGACTTCACAGCTCCCTTCAGCATAAAGTCTTACACTAAAGGACCTAGCCCAAATGGCATATCTACTTGAATATCATAAAGCTCAGAAAAAGTGGCTTCCTTTCTATGCAAAATGACGTTGTAATACCCAAACACCATTCAAACACAGTACCGTGTCTAGCAAGAGGAAGAATTCATACACATGCAATTACTTGCAAAACAGGGCTTGTCTTCGCATGCAAAGTAAAGAATGTAAATCTCATGGCAACCTTTTTTTCCATATGATCCAAGTCATATGTTTGAATATGTTCTTTCAGCTCTGGAAATGGACTGTCCAGTCTCAGATCTTCTAATGCATTGTCAGGGTGAGATTCTACGACTGTAAAGAAGTAACAAGGTATATTATTTTACGTAAAAGCAAAATAATATATGTTTTCAAGATTTCAAAATGAAGGGATAAATGTTCGATGTAGTGCTTAATTATGACTCCCATTAACAATTATTCTCCTAATGGGAACTATGCATCATCGTAAAATGTACTGCATAATGTTAGGAAGTTTAAAAGCAGACAAAAATCTCCTGTTTTATAAAGGAGTCAGATTATCAAGTTGTTGCATACAGTTCCCAGTGTAATATGCCCACCGCTGAAACTCCAACTGCACCTACGAGGGATTTTAACCAAGGAAACAATCCTTCATATATGCAAACAACTCAACTAACACTTGTACGTGACTGCTTTCATTTCTTACAAGAAATCCACCTTATTCTGGATGTTCTTTAATAATGATGCATTACCTGGATGTTCTTTAATAATGATTCTCATGTAGCCAACCAATCCATAAGTCCTACAGACTAACAGAGGGATGTTATAGTTCCAGAGAAGTTCAGCTAAACGTAGCAATGTACTGGAAAAGGAAATACAATTGGTTTCTTAAAATATGCAGTTGATAATACACATCCAACTGTAAGAGTTAATTAAAAAAGGTTCCTGCAAGAAGGAAGTATTATACGATGGTATTATTATGATCATCTTATGTCACAGAAACTTTAACTGCCATCCTAAAAATACATTCCCTTAATTTGCATCCATTGGTTCATTAATGTTGAATTAATTTCTATAGCTCAGATTTTTTATGTCAGTCTTAAAAATACATTGATACAAATAAAATGGTACAACTATGAAACAAACAAACAAAAAATTGATTATATAAATCCATGTTTAAAGACAAATGCAACTCCTATAAAAGGTATTCCTGACAAAGCTTAGAAGCCATATGTAACATATGACATCTGGTAGATGTCAAATCAGATGTAAAAAATGCCAGAGCTGTGTCAAAAGAACTCTTAACTAGAAAAAAGTACTGCGTATTTAAATGCCTATGAAGACAGCTCTTACATGTTGCACAACAGCAAAAGGCAAAATTGCTTCATATAACTCAAGTTCTCACAATATGGCTGAAAAAGCTTGCAGCTTTAAAATCAAAGGATGAAAATTTTATATACAATTATTTACCTTTCTGGTAGTTGGGTTGCAACCACCATGTTAAACCGACAGAAAAAGGATGGATCATTATCTAAAAGTTTTTCTGGGCTCTAAAAAAAGTACAAAATAATTCAAAGATTGAAGCATACAGTAATAATTTTAGAAAAAAACAGAACATGTCAAAAGCTAAAATTGTATTCAATATGAGTTTTGCGTTTAAAATACTGATTTCTGAATCCTCATTGTCATTAAATTACAAAGGTTATTTAAACACACATGAAACTGATTTGCCCCAAGTAATCTGAGATTTCATTTCAGATCTATTACCATGAAAATATTTACATTTAAAAAATAAATACAGATAAATGTGTAACTAATGATTCATTTATATAATATATTTGCTACACTCTAAAAAACCAGAATGCAGCAACAAGTTGAGAACACAAACCTCCTCCACAAAATTTCCAGAGACTTCATTATTTAATTCTTGTAAGAGCTCTGTGGCACTCTGGGCTCGATTCTGTTTTAAAACAATTAAAGCATTTTTAAGCCTACAGTTTATCTACAATTTACAAGTTAATGTGATCTTTTACATATTTGTAAAATAGCATATATACTACTAATACAGTAAGTACATTATGTTAAAAAACTCATTCAACTATTTAAACGCTCATTCACTCACTGCCCACCATAGCAGGATTTTGCTTAAATTGTATCGTGCTTTACTTTAAAAATGCCAGTTAAAAATATGCAATGCTCATTTTTAATTTTAAAAACAGTAGGCACGTCTACACATGCAGTTGATCTGGTCTAAATTGAGTCTGGTATAAACTACTCTGGAGTAAGTGCTTTCGGGCATGTGTCTATACATGCACGGATTAGGAAGCAGATTTGCTGCTCTTTGCACCATTTTCTGCAGCTCTGCAATGAGCCCCTGCTGCCACTGGGGGTAGGTCTAGGCTCTCCCTATGTGCTAGCTCAAGGGCTAGCAGGGAGCACCAGGTCAGGAGACAAATATCCCCTTGCCCCAGCAGCAGGAAGCTCCTGGCCCTAGCTTCCTGATCAGAGGCAGGTGTCTTAGAACTGTATGGGTCTCAGCTGCCTGCCCTGATCCACCAGTGCAGCAGCTGGCAGCTAGAGCTCCCAGCGCCAGTTGTGGAGCTGGCACTGGGAGCTCCCTGCTAGCAAGGGCAGAGAAATCTGTTCCTTGCTCAGCTCCACAACTGCGGAGCTGAGCAGGGAACAAGCTCCCTAGCTCTTCAAGCTTGCAGAACTGGATGGGGAACAGGCTTCCCTGCCCTTGCCAGCAGGGAGCTCCCAGCACCAACTCCCCAATCACTGGGCCAGTGCTGGGAAACCCTTATCTTCCACTGCTGGCTCTGCAACTGCATGGCTGGTGCGGGCAGATGAGGGTCTCCCAGTCCCACCCCCGCCCCATGCTCCCCAATCATGATGGAGGAGCAGGGTCTGGAAGATAAGGATCTTCCAGCTCCCACTCCCCGATCCCAATCTCAGAGTGGGGGGCTTGGAGCTCCCTGCTGCCATGGCAGGGGAACATAATCGCTGCCCAGGCTCCTGTGGCATAGCCCACCCCGGCTTGAGGTAGCTCCCAGGGTCAGGGAGCTATCTTCCATCCCCTGGTGGACAGCTGACTGGGAGCACATACTGCTCCTGGTCAGGTATCTACACAAGCGCTACTGCGCCGTTACTAATCTTGAGTAAATTTACTATTTGCATTTGCAAGTAGCAAATTTAGTCGGAATTAGGGAGGTTTATTGCATAGTAAGGATGTGCATGTGCGGACACATTTGTTCACAGTAAACTATACTAATGGGCAGTTAAATGTCCTATGTATGTTGGAAACTAAGTTCTAGATGCAACTTGCTTAAGCACTACTACAAGCTAAAAGCTAAGCAAGCTCTAATGAAAGTAACAGCACTACTAACTAGTGCTAGGATTCTGAAGATGGAGAGCATGAGAATAAACAATAGAAGTTAAGGGGATGGGACCTGGGGTGGAGAGAAAGGAAGGGTAAGCAACAGCAGTTACTAATAGAAGGATAATAATCCTCCACAGGGCCTGATTCTTTTGTCTTCAGCATTGTTATAATCCATTTTGTTTCACCAACAATCAAGAATGATATTTCTTTTAATTACTCTAAATGATAATTCATTTTAAGGTAATGGCACAAAGCCAACTACAGCAAAAAATCTGAAATTAAAGGGATATTTTTACCAAACTGTTCCTCTGACAAGGTAAAAGGAGTAGTGATGAAAATAGTAAACAGACACAGAATATAGCTATTTTCAGGATTTTTTTTTTAAGAAGCTCTTGAAAACACCCCCCCAACCTTTTCCATCCAAAACTAAGCCATGGCTTCTCTTCTCTTCCTCCACAATTTAGGTCATAGTCTGCCTTTCCAATACATAGGCTTCCTTGTGGGCTTCTAGTCACCAACTTTAAAACTTAACATAGCCAAAACTCATCTTTTCTCTCATTTATTCCCCTGAACCTCTACAGTCTCACTTTTTAGTATGGAAGAAATGAAATTTATATACAAGTAGCTGTAAAACTCTATTCATCATCTCTAAGATATCAGGGGTATACCAAACTAATCTGGCTCTGGGGTTCAGGGCCAGTCTATAGGCTGCATCATGCCCACAGACTGACCCTGTGTACTGGATCCAGTGTACATGCTGGCCCCAACCCCACTGCCATATGCACCCCCAGACCAGGCCCATGTGGAGCACATGCCCCAGAATGGGCAGGCATGCATGCTGACTCTATCCCTGCATGTAGTAGGCACCAGATAGTGAATGGGGCAGAGGCTGGGGCATGCTGCATGCAATGTAAGAGCTGATCTAAAACCCACAAGCAGCACTGCGGGCCAAATGACAGGGCTCTGCGGGCCAGATTCAGCTTGCAGGCCATCTCTTTAACAACGCTAGCTCTTTACACACACAAATGAGATTTAGTATTGCCTTACCTGGCCAATATGGCTTTTTTGTAAAAAGAAGCTGAGAAAGGAAGCAAGAGAAAAAGACAAAAGCTTTAGTTTTATGATCAATACTATTACATTTCCCTGTAACACAAAACACATAGTTGTGCTTCATAAAATGACAAAGTAAGTTCTTGAATATCAAACTCCCTCAATTATGACTTTAGCATCTTTGTGTGACTACTTTAAAACAAATCTTTCAGTCCTATACTATCAGAATTTTAAAGACGCTTCATCCCAATCCCTATAGTTTCAATACATTTTACTTCCCTTTGCCAATAAGGAACTTGTTACAGATTTAGGCCCTGAATAACTATGGCCCTATCTCCTATAGCTAATGCAGAGTTTTCCAAACTTTTCATGCTGGTGACACACTTTTTAGACATGCATCATTTCGCGACACAGTAATTCAGTTCCGGGGGAGGAGCCAAGGGAAGCAGACGCAAATAAGGGAGCTCCGCGGTGCCCTTCTGCAAAATTTTCTGCATTTCGCGCGACACACCTACACACTGCCGCCGACACACTAATGTGTCGTGGCACACAGTTTGGAAAGCTCTGAGCTAATGGAATGCCTCAGGGAGCACAACTGAGCTGTGTGGGCTTATGGTTCTACCTCTGCCTTGCACGGGTGCCTGGATTTTATACATATGCTGTGTAAGAAGTTTCACTCCAATATAACACTGTTTTATTGAGGAGTTGTTTGGTTTTTTTTCCTAAATGCATCTCTCTCTCAGGAGACATGCAAGCACAGCTATAGGAAAACTCTTCCCTTGATAAGACTAAGTGCCAGCAATTGTTTTTGGCAATAAAACAATTTTTGCTATTAAAACAAACTGTTTAGCTGTATCAAAGTCAGGTGAACCTTGGCTAAGTCACAGTAGCAGAGCAAGAGATTCACCACACTTATTTGAATTTTTTTTTAAACTATTGTTTTCCCAACCATGAAGAAATGAGTATTAAAAACGAATTCAATTTCAAATAATCCATTTAAAAACAGAGCAATTAAGAAACTGCTAAGTAAACACCTAAGATACTATGAGGAATAAAGTAAACATGTAAAAAATATACAAGAACTTGTCTGGAACATGATTCTGAACCTCTGAGCCGGTACAGAAAATGAACAAGTAATGCTTTTAAACTGTAGACATTAAATCCAGTCACCAACAAATTTGTATAGAAAACAAACCTACTTATTTCCGACATCTTCTCCAGTGACTTCGTTCCCATCAACAATTGTAAATGAACCGATACCTTAAAAATAATACAATACAAATAATTAAAAGTAAATATTCCTAATAAAAATCCTTATTAAAATAACCTTAGAATCAGATTTATTTACCTGGCAGCACTAAATTTTTGAGTATTTCAGTTCCTGTGGCTGTTGCATGGATCACACAAACATGAGCAGATTCTAAAGCCTCTTGTCCATGGTCACCCCACAGCCTATAAAACAAGAAGCACAGAAGCACTGAGAGAAAAGTTAAGATAGTAGACACCATGTGACAGGTAGTGGAAATCTTCAGTCATACTCCCTATGGTCCAGCATGCCAGTTTTCTGTTCATATAAGCAGAGTGAGTCAGAAAGTTTGTCAAAAGCTTTCATCAGAAAAAGCTGCCTTGACTGAACAGAAGCCTCTCACAAAAGGTAACGTTCTATGAAATTTTGGTTTGCGAAAATATTTTTGTTTTTATTGTATATTAAGCCAACAATAGCACGTAATGTTTGAAGCGTCATTTCAGAATTCTGGCACAAAAATAAAGCTTAGGAAAGTCCATTTCCTATGAAGAAAACTTTAGAGGGTTTTTTGTTTTACTAATTTGCATGGACTTTACAGTGCTGAAATTTACAGCAACCCAGGATTTCTCAGTTTAAGCCAGTGGATCTCAAAACAGCATTTACACTGAAAGAGTGCTTAGCACAGGGATTCTCAACCTTTTCCAATTCAAAGTGTTCATCACAAGGCCGGAGGCACCCCCGAGGGGATACCAGCTCTTCAATTTAATTTCTTTGACTCCAGACAAATAGAACAATTCTTCTGTAGCAGAATTAAACACAGTAAGGTGAAACGAAATCCGAACAACATTAAAAACAACTCAACTGGATCCCATTATGCAAAAGGACTCCACGGGAAGAGAAGTGTCCAGGGAACTTCTCTGTGGACGGCATTCTCATTGCAAAGTCCAAATGGAGGAGGCATGGCTGCCTCAGGCTGCCTGCCATATGCTCTGGGTGCTGGGCACCATCCGGCACGTTTCTCAGCTTTTTCAAAACACAGCATGAGTCAGTTCACAATGGAGCAGCGCACCTCAGCTTTTCATACAGGAGGAAAATGCCAGCTCCTTCTCGTCACTCCTGTTCTGGAGCAGGGTGGAACATTATTTTGGCAGGCCACTTAACGAATTTTAGTAAGCGGTCAAGGGCTGCACACAATCATTCAGAAGGTATCATTTTAACAAATTACAGATAATCATACACTAAAAACAAATATCTACTATAACATTTTAATTTTATGTCAAAAATATTTTTTTTGCCCTGATTTCTGCATTTTTTGAGTAATGTATAGAGAGGCAATAGTATAACAGTTCAAAATAAAGTTACTCTTGTATATTATGTGGAGGTAGGGTGAGGGGTGTATGTGAGGCAGGGGTGTGGGGAGTGGGCGTGCACATGTGCGTGCGGTGTGCAGCTGGCCAGGGGTGCAGGGAGGGAAAGA